CTGTCCTCCCTTCCTAAATCCTTAAGATTGAGAACAGTGATTGTAAATTAATGCTTAGCAATGTAGAGACTTTGCTTTTGCTACTTGTTAGGTTGGCTATAAGTAGTATTTTTCTTTCCCTGTTTTCCCCCCACCCCCTCCATTTGCCAGGAACAAGTTTTCATGCCTACTGAGGCCATCCATTAAATATTATATCACTGAAGTCCCTTGTAGGAATTGGTGGTGGGGTAGATTTGTTCAGTTTGCATCTGAATGTGAACATCATTAATTCATCACTTCGCATCCAAACCCCTGTATGAAGTGAGACTCAGTGCTTCTTTGCATTTCTACAAATCGTGCAGTGGAGTTTGCTAATCTAAAATAAATGCAAAAACGCCCAGATTCAGGAAACGTGTGGTACTATGTACATTGTTGGACCATAAGGAAGGCTGAGCGCTAAAGAATTGAGGCCTTTGAATTGTGGTGCTGGTGGAGACTCCTGCGAGTCCCTTGGACAGCAAGGCGATCAAACTGGTCAGTCCTAGAGGAGATCAACCCTGACTGCTCTTTAGAAGGTCAGATACTGAAGATGAAGCTCAAATACTTTGGCCACCTAATGAGAAGGAAGGGCTCCCTGGAGAAGAGTCTGATGCTGGGAACAATAGATGGCAAAAGAAGAAGGGGATGGCAGAGGATGAGGTGGCTGGATGGAGTCACTGAGGCAGTTGGTGTGAGCTTAAGTGGATTCTGGGGGATGGTGGAGGACAGGAAGGCCTGGAGGAATGTTGTCCATGGGGTCACGATGGGTCAGACATGACTGCGCGACTAACAACAACAACATGTACATTGTTTGTAAAACTGTTTAAATTAGGCTGAAATGCCTGCATTAGGGGATATGTGCAGAAAAATGAGCATGAATTTTCATGCAAACTTTTTTTAAAATCTAGACTGGTTGAGATAGACAAATAGAAACAGAGTCAGAAGGGGTCTCCTGGGCCATCTAGTCTGACCTCCGGCTCCAGCTGGCTCCACTCATGACCTGGCTACCAGGGAAAAGACTGGAAAAGGAAGAAACCTTTAAGGAAATTATTCTTTTCAAGACTGGAAAAAGAGAAATGGGTTGAAATCTAAATCAGGAGATTTAGCCATGCCTCAAGCCATCTCTGTCATTATTTGGTGCCATATCATGGTAGGGAAGCTTGAAGACAGAAGAAGAGGAAGTCCAAAAATGAGATGGATGGAGTCCATAGAGGAAGCCTCAGCCTTGAACTTAGAAGAGCTGAGCAAGGCTGTCATGGACAGGAAATCTTGGATGACTTTGATTCATGGGGTTGCCATGAGTCATGGATAACATGATAAGTAACAACAACACTCCCATTGATATTCGACACCATTTATGTTGAACTCTAGTAGTAAGGAAAAAGAAATAATATTCCTGCTTGGGCAGGGTTACACATCTGCCATCTTCTGTCCACAAACCTTGGCAGCTTATGCCCATCATTCCACATGTGGTGAATATCAGCTATCTTGCCTCAACCACAAAATGTTTAGATGTAGTCTGTCTTGCCCAATTCAAAGTGGAGTTTCTTTCCTTTTGCACTTAGCTGCTGTTACTTTTCCAGGAGTATGCATAAATAGGCCTTCTCTATCTACAGTACATCTGGGATATGCAATTATACAGTGATGTTTGATTTATACGCTGTCTTAATGTATTCAGCACAAGGCACTTCGTTGCATTAGGAAAATAAAGACTTAGTGTCATTTCATTTTTAGTGTTCTTTGGGGAGGAACAAAATATATCTTTAGCCTTTGCTGGCAGTTCATTCATTGCTGGTTGTGCTCTACAAAATATGTAAATAAGATAATTTATGGCCTCTTCAAGTCTCAAAAGGTGCATTTAAACAATGACTGAAATAGACCAAATCCAAACCAGTAGAGGCGAGAGCTCACCCACACCGCAATCACTCTGCAAATGCAGGAATGTACAGGCTTCAACTGCAGGTCCCAAACACAAACTCAGATGCAACAAATTTTTCAGACATCTCCAGGAGTATAGGATTGGAGCCTAAGTATCAGTGTGTTAACACCTCCCCTCCCATCGTCAACACAACTGCCATGAGTGGCCTGTAACTTCAAGAATCCCACAGGTTCTTCTCAGGCTGTTAGAAAGAAAACAAAAGCATGTGTATTTCTGCACCCCCTAGGTAGCCCAAAGTACACAGAAACCATAATCCCTGGCATGGCCTCATTTTGAGCTTGATGTTAGAGACACTATGAGTAGAACCTACAGAAATGTTTGGTGCTTCTCTTCCCTGTTTCAGCTGACCATGGCTTCTTTCAGGATACTCTATTCCCTCTCCATCATTTTTCTGCTTTTAACTGATTGTCAGGCATTCAGCATTTTGTGGCCTGGGAACATTCCTGGGCCTCATTGGTCTGGTATTCATTAGCCTGGTTTTGGCCACTCACAGCAGCTTTCCACATCTGCAGCCCTTGGCGTTTGCCCGAGTATGCCAATTCTCCATCTCTCTCAGCCCTAGTTTGGCTTCATAACCACCATAATGCAGCATCCATGTTTTCTATTAGACATTTGCAGGAAAATCCTCATTATTATGGGTAGGTGCATAGAGACCTCCCCTGCAGAGGAAGGCAGGACGCGCTCCATTGGAGCAAAGCTCAGGGAATCCAGGTTCCATTTAGATGCCAGGAAGCATTTCCTGACAGTGAGGACCCTGAGGGTGTGGAATGGGCTTCCACGGGAGGTCGTTGAGGCCCCATCGGTGTGGGTGTTCAAGGATAGGCTGGATGTCCACATGGTGGGCATGTCATGAGCAGAGCCAGCTGGGGGTCAGACTAGATGGCCGGGGAAGCCCCTTCTGACTCGCTCTGTTTCTATGTTTCTTTGTATTATATCTTAAAGAAAGGAATGTGTAGGAGTAATAAATGGGACATACAGAAAAAGTAGGTTGGCAGTTCATTTGCAAACAAAGACTGTTTGCTATTTCCAGCTTTTCAAGAGAAGCTTTGTTCTTTTCCAGCTTATCGGAAGAAAGATAATTTCACTTCCATTCACCTTAAAAAAAGAAAGAAAAAAGTGAGGAAGCAAGACACTTGAGCAACAACTATTTAAAATTGATTTTTTAAGATTGTTGTTGAACAAATTTCCTTTTATTCCCAGTAAGAATGCACACACTTTCAAATTTGAGGCTATGAGAGTAATTATATCAAAGATGTTTGTTTAAACCCACAGTCACATTTAAGTTATATTCTAGAGTGGGGCAATTTAGATGAACTTGATGTTAGTTAATGTTTAAAATACAGCGTATTCATTGTAATTAATAAAATTGTTTCAAATTATTTTGGTCTCTGCTCATGCTTGTTGTCAGAAAGGCAAGAGATGCTTCCGTGTAGCGTTTAACACACACACACACACACCCTTTCATGCATTGAATTCACCTCAACAAGCACCGTTTCCAGTTTTGATCATGAGCCTTCCATAACTAAGAAGAAAAGGGAATAAAATTCAATTCCTTATGGTTTTAGCGGGAACAGGGTGGACCATATGAATTTTGTTTTAGCTGAATAAGCAGTTTGAGTCTGTATACAGTCATAATCATGTCTGCCAAGAAGCAAACAGCAAATTAACTAATCCAGTCGCCACTGATGAGAAAAGATGCAGTCTATGTTGGGCAGTTGAGCTTTATCGACACAATGGCATGCTTCAAATCCATATCTTAAGGCAAAAGGTCTTATCTGTTCTGGCGGAATTCTGATTCACAAAGGCATGTTCACCTTTTGGTTGTAATATCAACCAATGCCTGAAAATCAGCCTTTATAGATTAGGCATCACTTTCCCATCACCCAGATTTGGCACAGGCTTAATACTTTTCGGTAGAAGCAGTTCTTACATATTCCAGTCCCTTTTCTTCATTACAGATTAGATCCATACCATTAACTGAACTTAATCCCCCTTACTTACTTAATCTCACTTCTCACTTATATCCCAACTTACTTTCCTTGCAAGGGACCAGAGCATTCATGGCAGCTGTGCTTAGGGCAACCTTGACAATTTACAACCAACGAGCCCGTGCAGATCTTCTCTAGGTCAGCTGCCTACAAGTGTCCCCAGATCCCTTGCGGCACTCAGACGACTCTAAGATGACTATGGGGAGAGCATCTAGCAGGCCCTGGAGGATCCTAGACTGCTCCACTGGATTAAACAAAGAGGATTGAACAGAGGCAGTGAGGTGCAGTTTCTCTGCCATTTCTCACTCTGTTTCATCAGTTTCCACTCCGGAATATAGTTGTAGAGTCAACAGAGACAGGGAAGGATTGCATTCACACATAGCATGGGTCCATAGTTTAAAGCTACGCAAATGAGTAGCAGTGGGCTTAGGTGTTTCCATTTCCCTCTTCTCCATCACTTCAGCCAGGGAGCAAGGAGTTTGGGAGCTTTGCACCAGTTTTCAACTAGCTGCAGTTACTCATTATTCTGAGACCCATGGTCCTTCTTTGTTACCTCTGTGTAGCCCACAGGGTTAGCAGCCCAGTTTAGGTGCAAATACAGCTTGGCGAATAAAGCAATCTCACACTGTGGTTAATGACTGTGGCTTGTTTCCCTGAACCATGCTTAACATATCAAACACTGCTGTTGATTAACACTCATCATGTAACACCAGTCAGCTGAAAGCAGAATCGAAAGCTCCCATTCTTCTCCTTGTAGCAGCACTGGAGATGGCAGGAAGGGTAGCAGGGCAGGCGCCCAAGACTCATGCATGCAATGTTAAACCATGGCTATGAATTACATGTGAACCCAACTAGAACGGGAAGCATCTGGCAAGCTAATATATGGCCGGTATGCTATGCTCAGCTATGGTGCTCCCACGTTTTGGGGTGCGGAGCAACTACTATCTGTACATCTGTGCTAATATTGTTGGTATTGGATGGTTGGGCCCAAACACATTGCATTAAACTCCGTGAGTGACCACTGTTGGTAAAATTCTGTCTTCTCTTTTCTGCAGGTCTCATAACCACAACTTCTAGAAAACTGGATCGTGAACAGCAGGCAGAACATTTTCTGGAGGTAAGATGCAGTAGTGAATATGCTGTAAAAAGGATGGCAAACCAACCTAGCAGATTCCATATCTATTTATTGATTAAACTAGAATCGCATAACCCTGTCATCTGGTAGAACATGGAAAAGCCATATGTCCTTATTCTCTCCAGCCCACTTCCAGCATCCTTCCTCCCTTGTACAATATGATTTCTTCCTTTATTTCTGATTTAGCGTCAAAACTGGCTTTCTATTAAATCCAAAATTGGGAAAGATATTATTTGGCTATAAACTATGGTTTGCAAGAATTATATATTGTCCAATTTGGATGTAATGGCAAAATAGTGCTACCAATTTGAACCTGAATTCTTCAAGCACGTAGACCTCCAGGGATATAAGCTTGATCTTTTTCCAATCAGGTACAGCTGATGATGTTTTTGTGATGCAGAGTTTATTACGACAAATACCCAGGTGGAACATATGTGGAATGCTACTGCTTAAATAGACCTGCTCCAACAAATATTGTTACTCTATCAAATTTCTAAGGAAAGCATTAAGGCTTCAGGATTCTTGTACAGAACGATTCTGCTCTCTCTGCATGTCTCATTCCAGTAGGGATCTATGAGAATTTCAGTTCAGTTCACAAATAACTTGAACATGTTCCATTTGCATTCCTGGCCATGACAGGGCATTTTCTCCAACAGTGTTCATAAATCGACAATTTTTTGTCTGTAAAATGTGCACTTTAAAAATCCACAGATTGTTAAAATACACAACTTTAGAAATGCAAAACTTTTGAAAAATGTGCAAATTCAAAATGCACCGTTTAAATGCTCCTTTTTCCTTTTCAAGCAAACATAAATATCAAAAGAGCCACAAGAGAATTTTAGTGAGCTTCAGTATCCCTGGTGCTCCGATCCCTGTTCTATCCCCACTCCACATTCTACTTAGCACATTTGTTAGAGAAAAATATAATGGACATATTAATCCTTCAGATATTTGCTGACTTTTAAGAGCCTTTTTGAAAATGGTTTGCTGAACATAGTATGAATCCGTGAGGCTAAACTTATTCAGTTCTGTTTGCCCTCCTGTTTATCTTGAATTGTTTACTGTCACTCAATCAAAAAAGGAATAGGCAATATGGTACCTTGGCCACGGACACCCTTTTTAGTGTCCACCAAAGTACCCTTCCCTTCCAACTTACTGTTTGAATAGCCATTTGCTTACTGTTAGCTGGGATTACTTTGAAACTGATTTCTCTTGGTACTGAAAAATGCAGACACAAAGGACATGTTTCACATGTTAGAACTCAAAGCTCACCTCTGCTTGGCAATCAGACTTCTGGCTAGTTTCTTTAACCTTTGTTATGCACCTTATGGCAGCCATTTTGTGGTGTTATCCAGGACTGTTTCTCAAGCTATCAGAAATGTCCATGGCCCCAAACAGTTGCTTGCCCTTGCATTAGACTGTAAAAGGATCACTACAAGACCACTTAGGCAGTGATGGCGAACCTTTTAGAGACTACGTGCCCAAACTGCAACCGAAAACCCACTTATTTATCACAAAGTGCCAACACTACAATAAAACCTGAAAAATGAGTTTTTAGATTAGAAAAACTCACAGCCAGTCCAAGCAAATATCTATATTTTTATCCTTAGCAGTGCCCTGACTGGCCATGTGAAAGCTCGGACAAGTCATGGCTGAGTTGTGGCTTGTGACGTCATTGCCTGGTGCCGCTACTCCTTTCCAAGCATGCGCATGGCCCCTATGTGTGCTGTTATCCAATGCTCAGCTGCTGGGGCGATGCTGGGGCGACTTGGCTCTCAGGCCAACAGAGAGGGCTCTGTGTGCCCACTGTGGCACACGTACCATAGGTTTGCCACCACTGACCTAGACTAACTCCAAATCCCATTACAGCATGGTTGGCTGCTAAATTGGATGTGTGTGGTGGGGGGGAGCAGAGTGTATGAGAGAAGGAGAGCACCTATAAGCCTAGTGTTAATTCACATCCTCCCAGCCCATGATTCAGTGTCAGATTAGAAGCACCCAGCCACACAGGAATCGTATCGACCTGCCCCAAGTTGGCTGGAAGGCAGCATTTTTATTTTTCAGTCTCAAGGAACAGCAACCTACTAAAACTGATTTGACACAAAAGCATATTCACTAATAATAACTTTTAGGGTCTTGACGTGTTTTAGTGTCCGAGCCTTGGGCGTAACAATGAAGCATAACAAACCCAATATTTCCCGAGAGTATGCCTTAAAAGACAATAAAAAGGGCATCTATTTTTAACAGGAAAGAGTCGCAAACTTTATTGCTCATTTAGTAGCTAATTTTTTACATCTATACCTTTGCTTTTTGAGGCAGATTGATTCCCATACTGCTAATGAGGGATCTGGTACCTGGTATTTTGTAAAAATATGATGGAAATGAAAGCTACTTTCTACTGTCAAAGGCTGTTCTAAAAGAGAATAGTCTCAAGGAATGATTTAGTGCGCCACTACTTCAAGGCAAGTAGAAGCCAAATTATGGGCTGGCAGGTGCAAAGATTAGAGGCCCGGATCTGCCTCTTCATCACACCCTGACCCTTGGAACAGATTAATGTTTTCCCATTTGACAGCCTGTTTCCCAATAACAAAAAACCAAACAAACAAACTGCTGACAGTTCAGCACTAAGTAGTCTGGAGAAGAAGAGTTTCTTTTTTGACACTTGTGAAGCATTTTGTGAAATGTTTGGCTCTTAATGTGCTTAATTAACCTCCTGGGGAAACTCTTAATTGCCAGTATAACCATGGTGTTCCAATCATACCACTTTAGCCTTCCGGAATTATTTCATACTCTTCCTCCCATTAGAGTCTGATTGGCATAAAAAGAGAATAAAATTGGCTCCCCGTGAAAGGAGATCTGACGGGAGATTGACCTAAAGGCTTCCGTTTTCCACTTGCATGGTGCATGTGTGCATGGGGGGAGGAGAAGAGGGGGTGTTGAAGGGCACCCATGAGTATGCAGGTCCTTTAATTATTTCTTGAAATAATCCTGCCCTCATTTCCGCTAAATTTGACTGTGACATAATACCCTTAAAGGTCTTTCTTCAGCCTATTCATGCCACTCAGCGCAAAGCTTGAATAGAACGATAGACTGGAAACTGCAGGGACAAGATGGAGTCATACAGGAATACTGAATTTGTTGGTGAGGGTGACCTTACTGTCCCAGTAGAGTGAGGTAATATTTCTGGTGAGCAGCTTGTTACGATGGCCCCAATTCCTGGAGAAGTGCAGTCTGTTCGACCCATCAGCTCTGAACATAGCAAGCCGGTTGTTGCTGCTGCTGTTTTTCTCCCAGTACTCAGCACTGTCTTTGTAATTAGTTACATTCATCTTGAAGATAAGACTGCAATAATTACTGGCTTGAAGAGGAGCCTTTAATAATGACTAGCCCACAGAACATGCATACTCCCCATACATATTTTATTAGTTATTTGAGGCACATGGATGCGTAGTGATGCAGAAATTTCTCACTGCTTGATTCAGAAGCCGTTTGCCAACGATAAGTATTGTTGGAGAACACTTGAGTGGCCAGTGTTGGTATCTGTTCTTGAGCATGATAAATTGACTCATAAGCTTGGCTTGACTCTATGAATTGGGTTTAAAATCTCTCACATACATCTAGCGCCTGAATACCAGCCCAACAACTCTCAGCCACACGCATCCCTCCAAGGAGATGTCTAGAGCTGCAGAGACCAATAGACAATCCCAGTGATCCTCCCATGACTTGGTGGGGAAAATGCTGTAGCCTCCAAGCCTAAGTGGAAAGCTCAGACAAAGACATATGCAAAGTTTCTCACTACAGACTTTGCTAGCTGGCTCCAGTGTTATGCTTCCTTGACCTCTTTAGCTTGTTATTGTTGCTAGTCGTGAAGTCGCATCTGACCCATTGTCCGACCCATTGCAACCCTATGGGTAATACTTCTCCAGGCCTTCCTGTCCTCCACCATACCCTGGAGTCCACTTAAACTCACACCAACTGCTTCAGTGACTCCATCTAGCCACCTCATCCTCTGCCATCCCCTTCTTCTTTTGCCATCAATTGTTCCCAGCATTAGGCTCTTCTCCAGGGAGTCCTTCCTTCTCATTAGCTGGCCAAAGTATTTGAGTTTCATCTTCAGTACCTGGCCTTCTAAAGAGCAGTCAGGTTGATCTCCTCTAGGACTGACTGGTTTGATCTCCTTGTGGTCCAAGGGACTCGCAGGAGTCTCCTCCAGCACCACAATTCAAAGGCCTCAATCCTTCGGCGCTCAGCCTTCCTTATGGTCCAGCTTTCACAGCCATTCATCGCAGCTGGGAAAACCATAGCCTTGACTATATGCACTTTTGTTGGTAGGGTGATGTCTCCACTTTTTAGTATGTTATCTAGATTTGCCATAGCTTTCCTCCGAAGGAGCAAGCATCTTTTAATTTCTTGGCTGTAGTCACTGTCTGCGGTGATCTTGGAGCTCAGGAAGATAAAATCTGTCACTACCTCCATTTCTTCCCCATCTATTTGCCAGGAAGTGATAGGATTGGATGCCATGATCTTAGTTTTCTTAATGTTGAGTTTCAAGCCAACTTTTGCACTCTCCTCCTTCACCCGCATCCAGAGACTCTTTAGTTCCTTTTCACTTTCTGCCATTAGAGTGGTATCATCTGCATCTCTGTGGTTGCAGAAGGACTTCTCGGAGATGCCTCAGCAGCAGGGTACTGAAGCCAGGGCTCGCAGGGACACAGTGATGGGACTTTTTAACAGCAGTTAGGATTATCATGGTGTCCGCAGTACAGAATTCACCACCACACCCTCCTTCCTCAAATGTTCTTCATGCACCACTTGCCATTTGACCAGCCTGAATAATTTGGTATGATCTACAGATGAAGCAACCACACCAAAACCCCTGACTGCAGTTCATTCCTTGTGCAACCCCATGCATGTTTAAAAAGAAAAAAACCCCATACACATCTCAGCATACCTGTCAAGCTAACTGCAGAATACTAGGAGCA